TTACCCCAAAAGAATCATTTCGGGGAGAGCAAATTTCTCCAGTTCCCCCTTCTCCAGCCCCCGGGGGAGGGTCTTTGATTATTTGGAAAGGAGAGGTCTAAGGGTCAAAGAGCTCATTTTGCTCTCCGCTCTGATCTGACATGAAAGAAGAGGAACGCGGGGGAACTTGGAGCCTTGTTGGCACAAACATTTCATGGAGGCACAAATGACACTGAGAAGGTAATTGGCCATATCTTTAAAAAAGAAGATGCGGCATAAGCAACAAAAGAGTCTTTCTGGAGGAAAATAACAGAATTTTAACCTAAGGCCTGTCCTGAACTATTCAGGGCGGGCGGCCCCCAACAGAAGGAGTTAGGGGAGGGAACACCCTCACCACTTCTCCTTTGCTCTTCTTTCCACTTAGCTCTCTCCCTTCCTCCCGGCCTTTCCATCTGCCTTCTGCTCCAACACGCAGGCTTGGGGAAACACACATCCAGCTTGCTTTCCCCCCTTCCCCTCCTGTCTTCTCTCGTCTTCCCTTCCCTCCTCTCCAATTGCTCCTCACTGGCTCTCATCCACCTGCGCGGCCACACCCGCGTGCTGCAGGGTCTCCCTCCTTGAGAATAGGGTGGAGTTTCTTTCCCAGGACCAGCTCGGTTTCTCCCTGAGCCTGATTTCAGTGCTGGTGAATGCATCAGATAGCTGCCCCTCCTCGTCTGAGCTGGCACCTTTTACGACTCATTAATCAAGCCTCTTCCTTTCCCTCCCAGTGCTGGGTGAACGCTCATGCTGATCTGACGGTAAGCCCAGCGAACACCAGGCCAGGGAGTCTCTGAGTGGGTAGGACAGAGGAGGCTGCCTAGGTCGCCGAGGTGCCTAGAAGTCAAGAATCCTCTGCAAAATGTTCATTTGAACAACACCCGTTGCCTTGTTTCACTTTCCTGGCAATTTTTATGGATTAAAGCAGCTCTTAGCATGAGCCCAAGAGACTTCCCAAAGGAGGAAGGGTAGGAACTTAGAATTTCAGACCCACATGTGATTTGACAGGATCACCAAGTTCCACCTTCTCAAGCAAGGGGTCAATGCCTTGTGTGTGGTCACATAGCAGAGTCGGGACAAGACCCCTGGCCGTCTGTCCTCCTAGTCAACTGTCTTACATTTACTCCAGGGTTCGTGCCACCGTTTCCACCTCTGCCGAAAGACCTTTCTGTTTTAACTACTCTGTTTGGAGAAAGAATTCATGAAGCAGGCTCAGGATATACAAAAACTGCCACAGCCATGTAAGGCCGGGAGCACCAACAGTGCAGGAGTCCATTTCAGCTCCAGGGAAATGCCATCTGGACAGCAGGGAAGGAATATTGACCCACATGGTTTGTTAGAAAGGAAGTGAGAGAAGCAGCAGTCCCCACACATTTTGTGTTTCTACCTTTATGCTTCAAGTATCAGTGACTCTCCCAGTTAAACAGAGAGGAAATTTCACCTTGTCAGGGCACCAGGGACTAAAGCGTTAAAAAGCCAACTCAGGATGTGTGTGTGTGTGTGTGTGTGTGTGTGTGTGTGTGAGTTGGGGTTGAGGTGTTGGAAATTCAAGTAAAACCCTAACTGGAACCATAGTTGGGCTTCCTTGATTACTGAAGAGCAAATATAGTCCAGAAATCCAGGTTCTTGGGAGAGCTGGGAAGCGCATTACAAAAGGGAGGTTTATGGTCAGAAAGCTCCAGTTCTGCACTGGTGAAGGATTATGAGCTCTCCTCAAGGCTCATTCCCACATTGCCAGCCAGCAATTAGGTAGAGACCTGTTCCTGTAATTACCATGACAGGTGGTGACAGGGTACCAGTGTGGGCTCTGTGTACTATGGACAAGATGCAGCACAGTCCCCAAAAGGCCAAGTTGGAAGCCTGTGCTTCTGGTGCTAGATTGGTTTAGCCCTGACCTGGTAGGTAGCAGTACTGGGTGCAACTTTCTGAGTATGCAGAGCTGAGAGTCCCAAATGCGTCCGCGCTTTGTAGGCGGCTGTGTATATACATGCAGTAAGTTAAGGAAGGAGCCTTATAAAAGTGCTTAGAAAATTAAATACCTCAGAATCAAATCAGGTGGGTATGGTGGACCATGTGCAGATAGTTTCAAAGCTTCAAAAATGCCTGTTCTTTCTGAGCCTTAGGCCAAAATAGAAAAAGAAGAAGAAGGTGGAGGAGAAGGAGGAGGAAGAGGAAGAAGGGGAGGGAAACAAGAAGGAAAGATAACACAACACAGATCCAGCCAACAGGTTGTAGTCATTAGCTATTAAATAAGGGTTAAAAAATATATTAAATATAGGGTAAGTGTTTAGAGGATCAGGAACATTGGGTAGGGCAACAACAGAACAGAACAGATACTTCCTGGGCCGTTTCAGCCCCACAGAACCAAGGAGTTACAATGAAGCTATTTGGGGTCAATTTAAGAAAATCTAATAATTAGAGCAGTCCCACAAAGGGGGATGAGCTCCTCCCCGACACCCTGCCATCTGGAAATTTCAAGATCTGCGGTCGGCCATGATCCGAGGCGGTGTAAAAATGAGATTTCTGCATATAGTAGGGAAATGAATGAGTTGATCTCCAAGATCCTGCCCAAATTTAGAATTCTGTAAACAAAATAAAGGATGGAATGGAACTAACCAGCCTTGCGCCCTTTTCTGTGTTCACGTTCCAGGTATGTGCCCCACCAGGCTCTGCATAAAATCAGTTTTGCCTCATGCCTGGGCCTCTTTCCAGGAAGCCTCAAGGGCGAAACAGAGCTAGGTCTCTGTCTGTGCTTTCTCCAGGGCTCCTGGCAGGTCTGGCACTCCCTGAAATCCCCAGAACAAGCCAAGCAGGCCTGTATTCCCAGGGTGGTCCCCATGAGGCAGAGTCCCAAGGGTGGGGACTGGCCGGGAAGCAGGAAAGGTTCAGAAAGCCACAGTCAGGCCTTTCCGTACTCTGCAGAAGGGGTCTTTCCTTTCCTCAGAGGTCTGCCCGGTAGTCCTGGGACGTAGCCAGTTTCTGAGGATGTCATCTGCTCTGGGTCGGTCCTTGATGGATTTTGGCCAACTCCCAGGACAGATTCATACCCACAAACAATGTAAAATCTGGGGGCCCTTGGCCAGAGCACCAGACAGGATGTCCTTCAGCCCCTCCCTGCCCCCCTCAAAGCCCTCCGCCCTTGCCCCATTCTTCTCAAGGTGGGTGGAATTGGATCTGCCACTGTGGGGGGCGGGGGACGCGGGAGTGTCAGAGCTGAAATCCAGGAAAACTCCCGCCACCCAGGGACTCTCCCACTGCTTCTTAGAAGAAGAGGAGAGTGCAGAAATCAGAACAGGGTTTTTTTAATTCTCCTCAAATTCCAGGAAATAACATACATGGAGCATATTTTCTCATTTATAAAGCTATAGTATAACGTGAAACTCTCCACAGATAATGCCATTCATGGTGGTTTACACCCCCAGAATGGTGGGGATCCTCTGTTTGCTGACTGGTTAGATGCGTCTTGTTAGTTTTAACTGCGCAGAACTAAAACAAAATGTGTATTATGCTCACAGATGCCTTCACTATCACTTTAATAATGCCTTCCCTAATCCACATCCATGTAAACTGGAAATAATAAACATTTGAAGTAAATGTAGGAGTTCCCTTCATCTTGAAAAGTTGCCCTTGTATCTACTTAATCATCCCCCCGGGGGCAGTTTAACAAGGAACATTGCCTGCTCCACACAGGGCTGATTACAGTTAAATAGTGTGTGTGTGTGTGTGTGTGTGTGTGTGTGTCTAATCTTGCAGCATTTCTGAAGGAAAAGCCTAACTTCATCAGACAAGCTGAATCCTGTTATTCTCCTCATCTCGTTTACATGAGGAAAAAATAGACCAGTATCTATGTTGAAATGGGCCACACCTTGGTAGACACTCAACCAAAATGCTAACCTTAAAAAAAAAAAAAAAAAGCAATAGAAAAAGCACACTTCTCTCTTTCTCCAGATTCACTTTATGATTAGCATGACTGTTTGCATTTGTATAACCACATTTTGGCAAAGAACGAAAAGATAAACTTCCCCCAAATAAGCATTGCCTTCTGCCCAGAAAATTCCTCCAGCCACTTTTGAAAATTTTCTTTTATCATTTCTGGTATATATCATTTTTTTTTACTCCACACAGAAATGCTGCTGTTTCTGGGGTGGATGCACAGAGCCATTCAATGATTTTTTGCAGGAAGAGAAGTTCTCCTGCCCCACCCTCCTCTCCAAACCCAGTTTCCCTCCACATCTGGCCAAGAGGGGAAGGAATCTGGAGTCCGCATCAGCTCCTGATTCCACCAAGTAAGCCCCTCCCACGTCTCATTTGAAATACCATTTGCCTCCCTCTTTCCCTCCCTAACCGTTTTCTTTAAAGAAACCAATCCCCCTCTTCCCATCCTGTGAGGAGAAAAAAAAAAAGAAAAGCTCGAATTGAAACAGAAGTAAACCGACAAACCAAAGGGCAGGGAAAAACAGCAAAATAAAGTGAAAACTGGTGATCTATCCACAGCCATGCAAAAAAAAAAAAAAAAAAAAAAGGCCCAGCAAATGAGCAACAAGCTGAGAAACAATTCAACCCCCAAAGGAAGCAAATGGAATCAAAACGGAGAAGCTGGATGCAAACATCTGGCAAGTTCAATCCGTGATTTCAAAGGTATGCAGTGTTTGCTGCGTAAAGAATAACCTGTCTCCGTTGGTCCAAAGTCCCTGCTCCCGCCACATCTTCAGAGTAGAGAACTTAAGTACTTCAAGACAAGAATACACCCCAGCCCCTCTGATTTCTCCTGACTCCCTCCTCAAAATACATTATTCTGAACTTTGTGGACAAAGTTGTCTCAGTATCCACTTTTAGCTCAAAGTTTCAAGGACTTGATTCTTAGAGAATTGTAGAAAAACAGCGAAGAACAGGGGGGAAAGTGCAAAGCTAAGATGAAATCAGAAGGAGAGCTGTGGGAGGAAATTTGCAGAGCTTCCCGGTGGCGCTGGTAGCTATCCTACCTGGAGGGTCCGGGCGACGGAGGCTCCGAGTGGCTGGCGGTGACGGGTGCTGGCAGCAGCCTGGTCCGCTCTCCTGGAGGTTTGCAACCGCTCTGATGGGAGGGACCCGCCTCCTGAGGTTATAAGTTTCCTGGGCTGGTGTGCTAGGGTGTGTGATGGGCGGTTTCTTTTCACTGTTTTAAAGGAGTTTCTATGAATCAGTCTGGCTTTAAAAAAAAAAAAAAAAGATTTGTTGGTAAGCTACGCCCTGCTAAGTTGGCAGTTAGTCAAGAGCGGCTGGGAGTGAGCCATCAATTCAAAGAACCTTGTTGTAGGCTAGCTCTGACTCAGACACACAGACCACAGTGGAAAAAGGAGTGACAGTGCTTCACATGAGTAATAGGAGTCACACAAATAGACGTGTTTACTGAAGCCCATTCCTCCTCACCAGAGAGGAGCCTGGGTTACCATGGACATGAGGCAAAACACGGGGGTTTCAGCAGGGGATGGGAGGAAGAGGGCCTGTGTCCTGCTAATTAAAACCCTAGCTGATCACCCCATCCTTCCTCCCCCCATTAAATGCATCAGCGGGTGCTCACCACCCGAGTGAACAGATTTATTTCTTATACACTTCCCTGTCTGACCCTGGTGCACTATCCCGTGGGTGGCTGTACTATAAGACCTGGAAGCTGAAGGGGACACACCAAGAGCCCTGGGAACCCTGCCTCGGGGTGATGGAGCACTGATGAACAGCAGACCAAACCCTGGGCTTCACTTATGCTCTGCACATGCCCTGAATGCCCAGAAGGCCCCTCCACATTCCAAGAAGAAGTCCTCCAGATAAGAACCTTGCTCTCTGATCTCCATGTAATAATCCCTTGGACCTTGTTCCACAATTGACTTTCAGGAGCTCCACCAGCAGCATAATCATCACAACTCCCTCCCTGAACCACTCCTCTCTCTCAATGCTGGCGGCCGGAAGGGGCCTGAGAAGTCAGTTAACCCCATAGCCTGGGAATTCCACTGGAGAGAGCAAGAGCCCAGATGCCTGAGTTTAAGCCCTGCTCCCCACTTACTTGCTGTGTGACTTTGAGCAAATCACTTACCATTTCTGTCCCTGTTTCTTCAGGCATAAAATGGAGATAGTAGGTACCTTTCTCTTAGAGCTATGGTAAGAAACACATGTATGGAGCTTACAACAATGCATGTAGTAAGCACTGAAGAAAAGTTAGCTGCAATGATTAGTTTACTAAAGAAGAAACGCAGGCCCAGAGAGGTACAGTGACTCATCCAAGGAGACACAGTTAGCAGCTGCATCTGGGGGCTGAATTGTCCAACCCAACCAATTCTGTTGCTGTTAGTTTCTCCTAAATCCCGACCACCTGTTTCAATTCAAAGTGTGATTCTATAGCTATTTATTCACTCATTCTACCACTGTGTGCTGCATATCTACCTTACTGGGCCCTGTTCAGAGTATTCAGTCAGAGAACTGAGCAAGATCCCTGTCTTTGAAACTTGTATTCCCTGAAAGAATACAGAACAGACTGGTCACTAGTAACCAAAATGTTGATAATATTAGGGGGTAAAATTATAGATGAATTTGTCTCTTAGGGTTACCTGAACATATTTTCAAAATCTTCTGCTATTAACCTATATTACTTTCTTCAGGTAGCTGGAATGTGTATATATGGATGGTTTTTAGCCAAAAAAAGTGAGGGGTGGTTTCACTCTGTCACCCAGGCAAGTGCAGTGGCACGATCAGAGCTCACAGCCACTTCAAACTCCTGAGCTCAAGCTATCCTCCTGCCTCAGCCTTCCAAGTAGCAAGGACTACTGGTGTGTGCCACCCTGTCTGGCTAGTTTTCTATTTTTTGTAGAGATAGGGTCTCACTATTTTGCCCAGGCTGGTCTAGAACTCCAGGTCTCAAGCAATCCTCCTTCCTCAACCTCACAAAGTGTCAAATTACAGGCGTGAGCCACAGCACCCAGCTCAGGGGGAAAAAAAGTCTTAACATGGGAAAGTAGAATATTTTCTAAAATGGGTGATAGGGAAGACACCACACCACACACACAGACGTACACACACACACACACACAGAGCTGCATCTACTCAAGTCCCTGAGAACTGAATTCTACCCCTGTAAAGATAAGGAAGTCTAGATTTTTCATTATGAACTGATGATGTGACAAAAGATTGCATCAGTTCCTCATGTATTTCCTCACCTTCTCCCTCTCTCATCACTCACTTGATCATGAAAATGCCCAGCTAGGAGGAGCCACTCCCAGCAGCAGGTTAAGAGTCCTCATGATCTCTCCATGATCTCCAAGGAGCCCAACCCTCAGGGAGGGGAGGACCCCGGACAGTGAGGCCTGGAAATTCTCCCTTGTAGGCTGTCAGGATGGGCATGTTCTCCACTGCTGGAATTTGCCTCTTTCTGGCTTCCCCTACTCCTGGGGTCATCTCTCACCTCCGAGGCCTTCCACCAGTTTTAAGCTCTCCTGCCTTGGCTGCACGTGGAGGAGGGCTGGGTTCCAGAGGTAGTGGGGTCCTCAGATGCCAGCAAGGATCTACTCTGGTTGCAGTTTTTAAAGAGAAACCTGGAGGCAGGGAGTACTGGAGGGGAGGCATTCTCCCTCCTTCGTCCCTCGCTGGGTTAACAAAGAAAAAAAGCACGAACTTTTCTTAAAGTACCTGAGTAGAGGAATCTTTTGATCCCTTAGGATCCCCACACTGGATTTGAAACAGTGGGCTGAGGGAGGGGCTGTAAAAACAGAACTCGGGAGGCAGGAGTTCTAGTTTGTCCTCTCCTGCGGCCTGGCAGTGGTGGTGAGCAGGCCACCTGCCCTCCTACCTGTCGGCCTTAACGTGAGCGGACAGCACAGCCTTCCATATGGGCCTGATAAACCTCACCTTGCTCTCGGTGTTTTGGGAGATGTTTAGGTTCAGAGAGAAAATGCTGAATAGTTTGAGCTCTTAAAACACACCTGTGTGACAAAAACACATACACACCCTATAAAACTAAGTTATGTAAATATTTTTAAAAGATAAATGCCAGTCTGGGATTTCTAAAGGCTCGTAATTAACCTCTGAAACACGGCTGAGCTTATTTTATAAAACAGAGTTAGGAAGTCTGGGTTAAAAATTAGATCTGTTCTGGCCGAAGCAAGAAGTTCTTGTGCCTCTGAATGTGATTAAAAGGTTAAGCCCGATTCTTCCCATGGCCAAGAGGGGACACTTTTAAGACTACAGACAGTGAAGAGGTCAGGGGTTTAAAATCTCATGGGGCTGAGGACTATGGCTCCCCTGGCATGTAGGTGCCAAACACTGCGGAGTAATCTGCCCAGTGCTTCGCCCATTTGGAAGGTGGATTAGACACGTTCATTTCTTACCTGGGCAAAAACCCAGGCAAAGTTTTATTTGACCTCAGGAAAACTATAAATTCTTGGGAAGGAATGTCCCTGTAACCCAGGGCAGCAGGGTGACCCTGGTGCAGGAATATTTCCCCCTCCTTCTGAAGCAATAAGAACCAATTTCTGGCTTGATGCCACTTGGGGCCGATTTTTAAGTCAGAACTGGCATGGACATTTTTAATGAATTTAGGAATTGAGGGATTTGAATAACTGATCCAAGGAGAAGTCTCCTCAGGTAGATCTGACCCCTTCAGTTCGCACACACACAAAAAAACAACTAATAGCAGATGTTGATTTTGTCTAAACTCAGTTAACCAAGAAGAATTCTAAATTATGCAACATGTTCTCAAAGCTATTATGTGAACAGGGATGTCAATATTAATATTAGCAAACACCCCTTGAAAAGTAAATAGAATGAAAAAAGTTGCACAGTATCTTCCAACAGGGGGAGGGTTATACTTTGCCACTCTTCTTTGACATTTGAGACTTCACCAGAAATTTTATATTTCTCCTTTTTCATTCTTTTCATTGCGTTTAGCTCTGCTCCTCTATTTCTCTCTCAGGCTGTTTTCTTCTGGCTTTTATTGTTTACTTTCTTAAATCCTTCTCAGCAAGATGTGATTTTAATATACTTTCACAAAATGAGAAGTCTGTAAAGTCCCCATAGCCTCCTCCCTTCTGGATTCTTAGCTCGTCCTGAAACGGCTTTGGAAAAATAAAACTGATGGAATTCCAAGAGCATTCCTAGAATATGGGCCGTTGGCCCGACACTCTTAGCCTGTGGAGAGGAAATTCTCACAAAGTGGTGCATGTGTAGAGAAGTGGCTGTGTCAGCCATGACATCTGAACTTGGGAGGAGAAATAAGCCAACCTCACCACGTTGGACAGTTGCCAGATGGATACTAAGTGCTGTACTCAGTTTCTTCCAACAGTAGGGTTACATATGGAGAGTCGAAATAGCTGACAAATAAAAACCTTCTGAGCTGCAACCACCAAGGGTACGGCTTCATAGCCGGGGGAAGAGTAACAAGCAAACAAGACATCGTGATCAAAATCAATAGTGAAGAGACCCTACCTTTCTCCAGGCAATGCCAACTGCAATACTAGAAGGTGGATGTTAAAGGTATATGGAATAAATTGTTTTCTTTTGCATGTTGGACTTTCACTTATTAAGAGCATTGTTCTTCAGGCTTAAGGGACCGTTTTTGGTAAAGAACTGGATATTCCTAATTAATTAGGAATTACATGGCTGGCAGGTCTAGCAAGTAGAAGCTGGCTGCATAGCAGGCAATCACCTAAAACCTAGTGCATTTAATCAATGAAGTGTCTAATACCCAAGTAAAAGAATGTCATGTTCTCTTTCAAGACTTTTCCCTCTGGCCAGGCTTGGTGGCTCACACCTGTAATCCCAGCACTCTGGGACACAGGGGCAGATGGATTGTCTGAGTTCAGGCATCCAAGACCAGCCTGAGCAAGAGGGAGACCCCATCTCTAAAAGTAGCCATGTGTAACAGCGGGCAACTATAGTCCCAGCTACTTGGGAGGCTGAGACAAGAGAATCACTTCAGCCCAAGAGTTTGAGATTGCTGTGAGGTGTGACAGCATGGCATTCTACCAAGGGTAACAAAGTGGGACTGTGTCTCAAAAAAAAAAAAAAAAGACTTTTCCCTC